GACAAAGCCCTGATAATTTTTTTTTCTTTTTTTAATGACACGATGGAAAAAGACTTCTGAACTCCAATAGTACCTTTTGTTTGTGAGTTTTGCGTCAGTCATCATGTTGCATGAATATAGTGTTGAGAGCCACAGACAGTCAGAATGGCCCCTGGCATTTTGCCAGAAGTAATGGTTGAGTGGCGAGCCATTAAGATGATGCTGGATTGATTCAATTGTGTATTAGACCTTTACACCAGTAATAGGGCGGCTCTTGCTGCCTCAGGTGCCCACTACTTTGGAGTTCTTCGAGTTCTCCTGGGGTTCAGAGAGTGAATGGGCATACAGCCCAGGGGAGGGAATTCTGGTTGGTGTGTGGTGTTCCTGGGGGCCATGTGGGGATGGCGTTTGGGAGAATTCCTGGGGAGCGTGTGTGGTGTGATGGTGGAGTTCGGAAATAAAGTTTGTTCCTGCTTGAGTGGCTCGTGATTTGTGCCCAGCCAGACTGCGGCAGTATAGTGTGATTTTTACACAGTAAACCTTTGAAGTGACTCTCTGGCTGCAACCAAAGGAGACACTTAGTGTAAGAACTTTAGGTGTGGCTAGGGTCCTGCTTATCACATTGGGGTCTTGTCCCTGGGACACATAGGATCCCAGCTGCCAGTTGCTCTTTGTTAAGAAATCCCAGACTGTACCTGGGATTATGGGCACCTGAAGGCCAGACAACCTTGGGTGAAATCAGATGGATGTAGCCAAGGCCATCTTCATGGCCCTGTCTCTGTCTCCACGGTGCATGGGGTGACCTTGAGGTTCCCCACCAGGCATGGTTGTATCCTTTCTCTGCCTCTTGTAGCATTTTTGTACACCCTGATTCTTTGTAAATGACAATAGATGGCATAGAGAGATAATTCGCTAAGGAAATGCCTGGTAAAGGTTACTGGTTTCACACAGAAAGCAATGTTTCCATCTCTTTTAAATTCACAAGTTTTCTTGAGAAGACACTTAAGGAATGACCCTAAGATGGAAATCCTTATAGAACCTTCCCAGAGTCGATGGGGAGACGTTTTCTGAAACAGCTTTCTTTGAAATACAATTTATATATTATAGAAATCCATCCACTAGCCATAAGGTTTTGAAAGCAACCAGGTGTCTAACCACGGATATGAATACTTTGGAACATTATTCTGCCTTTAAAAAGAAGGGAATTTTGTTACCTGCAACAACATGGATGAACCTCGAAGACATTTTGCTAAGTGAAATAAGCCAGTCACAAAAAGACAAAGGCTGCATGATTCCTCTTGTATGAGGCACCTAACATAGTGAATAAATTTAGAAACAGAAAGTAGAATGGTAGTTGCCGGGTGGGGGAAGGAAAGGGAGATGTTTAGTGAGTACAGTTTTACTTTTGCAAGATTAAAAGAGTTCTGGATGGTGGTGATAGCTCCATAACAATATGCTGAACTGTATACCTAAAAAAGGTTAAGATGATTATTTTTTTTCATATACTGAAGGTCAAATCCAAGGCTCTTTACCACTGAACCAACATACCCATCTTTTTTTATTTTTTATTTTGTGACAGGTTTTTTCTTTTATTTTGTGACAGGTCTTGCTAAATTGCTGAGGCTTTCCTCAAACTTGTGATCCTGCTTCAGCCTCCTGAATTGCTGAGAATACTGGTGTGCAAGACCATGCCCAGCAAGATGCTAAACTTTTACTATGTATTTTGCCACAATTTAAAACATAAGATATTTGCCCATTTAAAACACACAATTCAGTAGTTTCTAGAATATTTATGGTTGTGCAACCACCACCATAATCTAACTATAATATTTTCATTATCCCCTTAATCCCACTCCGCAAAACCTTTTGTACCCAGAGTGGTCACTTGGGGGATCTATTTTTTAACAGGCCATGGGTGTCATGCTCTGTTTTTTAGGACTTGACACTCACAGATTCTTTTAAGGGTCTGTAGAAATTTAGTTCAAGCTCCTTAGATGAAGAAATCCAGGCTCAGAGGAGCAAAGTGTTTTGGCGAAGGTCACACAAATAATTCGTAGTAGAGCCAGGTTTTCGATTTCTTGTGAAGTTATTTTTCCATAACAAAAATGCTGTGTCATTCACTTCCTTCGACTGATGCTGACAATAGGTTCTTGGTATGGAGAAGATGTTACCCTCCCCTGCTGTGGACAGCTGGGCTTCTTTCTGCAGCCTCCCCATCTCATCCTCCTGAGCCAGGAAGCAGAGAGTAAAGGGAATAGAGTAGAAAAATCTGCAGTTGTGTTCAATAATGTTCCTTCATGTTTTAACTGTGTCAGAGAGAAGTTATAATGAGTTTTATTGAGAATAATGTCTCAACCTCTCCTAGAAGAGTAATTGGAAATACAGGTGCAGGGTCTTTACTTCTGAAAGATGTGGCCTTTTTGTAGAGGTGACAGTGGTAACTGGTAGCAAACAGCAATTCCAAGTGGCAGAAATGCCAAGGTCTTAGGCTGGCAGTGGGTGGTCATTATGTCCTTGGTGGACTGTGGCAAGCATCAAGAATGGGAAATTTGGTGCTTTGATATGTCCTGCCAGCTTATGCTTCTCCTTTCTACTTACAATAGTATTTAGGTCCAGCAGAGCCATGGCCAGGGCAGGCAAAAGTTATGGTCCAGGGGTGGGGAGGAGGACTGTTGTTAAGTGAGTGCCTGCAAAATTTGTTCCAATGTTTATGTTTAACTGAAGCATCCTCATCTGCCATGATTTCCTGGAGGACTGGTGGAGGGATAGAGAGGTCTGTGGTTGCTGAACATGGAGAGGCCCTGGAAAATCACGTAACTACAGATTCAAAGTTCTGAAGCCTAATCATGGCAAGACTGGGCCCCTTGTTTCCTCTACCACTGGGAAATTCTTTAGGAATTTGATCTATCCTCCTCAGGGTGATGTAGGCTTCTAGGAGTGCTTGGAATTTATCCAGCCAGGCCACTCAAGAGGCAGGTACCCTTGTGAGTTTCCATAGGATGAGACAATCCTGACTGGAGAGACTGCATAGGAGAATGACAGAGGCTCTTAGGCAATGATCTCCCCAAGTGCAGTCACAGGATGGTTCATTCTAAAACTGCCAGTGCCTAGCAGAGTGCCTGGCACATTTGTTTGCTGAATGAGAGAGTGAGTAGTGACATTTCACGTCAAATGATGCATTGTTATTTACAGTGATTTATTTCCCGTGTATGAACTCATCCTCACAAGTGGCCCTACTTTACTCCTGAAAGATAGGCAAGACTGCTTTACAGATGAGGTCACACAGCTGTAGGTTGGACAGGTAGTTTCCAGATTCTAAATCCCTTGGCATTTTTAATACAGGTGACTTTTTGAGACTACTCTTCCTAAAGGACTAAGAAAGATATGAATAAGGATTCAGATAGACCATTGTAGCTCCTATATTCCATTTCTAAATTTGGGGTAGACATATTTTCCACCTAAATCTCTCGAAAATGACATTATTCAATTACACATCATGAGTTACAACAGAAGTTAGAGGCCAGCTTGGTAAACTGGTGAATCCTCATACAGTTTGCAGTAGCTATTTCCTGATATAGATTTGGCATGATAACACTATTGTATCTAATACAGTTTTTGGTAATTTTCAATTATCTAGATTGTAGCTTTATGGCCCTGCTCTTCAAGAAACATATGTTCGAAATTCTCACTGCTTAATGAGATCCTTGTTCCTGTTGAACTTCTATGACCTTATTGGAAATCAATGATTGCTTCTGCTCTTCAAAATGCAATGTTGAAGAGACCTAGATGAAATCACTCTACAAAATGGTTTGAGATTGCAGGATGTGGAGAGAGTGCTGTAATTAAAATGAATGCTTCTCTTTGGAGATAACACCATGTTTTAACTCTGAGTGCATATTGTGCAAAAGGGGATTTCTCCGTGCAGAATTATCTTCCCCCAGCAATTCGCACGATCACAGTACTCCTGACAGCAGGTATCTCCTAACTCTGAGCAGTAGATGAGCTCAAGCAAGGAAAGGGAGCTTTCCTTTTCCAGCAACTGTTGCTAGGGGGCGTGGTTTTGGAGCCAGCGAGGCCGCGTAGGGGGCCCCTTCCCCCCACCCGCGTAGACTACACTTCCCATGATGCTCGAGGGTGGTCTCCGTAGTGACGCACTTGGTGTCCGCGGGGGAAGGGAGTGAAGGTGGGG